AAAGCATGAATTTCAAAGCAGGGATCTCCAAGCATCATTTATGTGGTACGGTGGGTTGCATTAGCCCTACAGCTGGTATTTGTTGAACAGGATGCCGTTTCCCATACTTGAAGTTTATAGCGTTTAGTTTCAAAGCGGAATTTCCCAGGCAGAGCACCCCCAGAATGGTAGCAGTACATACCTAAATATATAGCTTTTTCAGGCAACGATAGCACAGCCTTTTCCTGGAGATTGCCATTTTGTAAATAAGCTTCTTCTTGAGCAGCGTGGCTAGGACTACAAAAGATGGATGATTATTTCTTCCCGGAATCGGCCTTCCGCTGCAGGATCTGTTTTTTGTTGCGATAATTAGCATAGAATTAAAAATGGCCCCACATCTTCAGTTCGCATTATGCCTCTGATACTGAGCGATCTGGGATCGCATTTTACTTGGCAATAGGCTTTGTCTGGGAATCGCTTTATTCACCACTGAAAATCAGCATTTAATTGTGGTGCACAGATATCTATCTGTAGGCTTCGACGCAGCAAAAGCCTCCGCCTCCAAAAATAAAACATTGCTTCTAATAAACTTTCAAATGAGGTGTTTTTTGGAGACTGGAAAAGTTGCCAAGAATATTTAGATGAAAAACTAGCATGCTGGCTGAAGCAGGATTTTACAAATGCCTTTAAAATCCACAGCTCAGGCTGAAGGTAAGGTCACGGGCTAGCACACAGCCTGTTCTCCCAGAAAACCTGTAATAGCTTTTCTTTTTAAAAAATTAACAGGGTTGCCAGTCCAGGTGGAGGCAAAATTGCAAGGAGTCTCAGACGTGGCCAATGGTGTGTCCTTAGGACAAACTAAGGCAGCACAAATACAACATGATGTGAAAACTTCCTGGTGAGAACAGTGCAGAAAATTACTGAGCAATTTGACGCAGTGTCCTAGCATTAGATTTATTATCCACTTCCAAATCATCTGCCAAAAATCCTTACAGTCGGAAGACAGGAAAGAACATGTTATAAAAAGACGTGGAAAACGAGCAGTTTTGGTACGGGAGTTTTCGCACTATATGTAAGTTTTCAATACATACAATGTTTGGGTTTGGTCTCAATGTTGAGGTCAATGGTACTTAAACCAAACGTTATCCCAGCACCTACGTGTAGGAAATGATGATATATGCCAGTGTCGCAAGATCAGGCTTGAATACGGTCCTGCAAGATGCTCCTTTGCCCAGCATAATGCTCAACGATGGCTTTTAATCCTGCAAGACTCCACCATCATTTAAGATAAAGCCGTGGTGTGCCAGCGGGCACACTTCTTCCCCGTAGGGCTTGCTCTCCTTCGCTGATGGACTTGTTCCTCGCCTGGGTGGCAGGGTCGTAGCCACGTACACGCGCTTGCGTGCTTTCCCCAGACCTTGCTGGCTTTGGCAACCGGACTGGATATGTATCATTTCAGCAGTTTTCTTATTATCTGGATTGTGGACTGAGATGGTTATGTTTCCCCACCGTACACCTGCAGAAATCGCAAGCCCTCCTCGCTGCGGGGCACCACCAGTCTCGCCCTGCCCTTCCCCAGCTCCCACATCTTTTCCAGGCTCCATTCTTTCCAGTTGTATGTCTGCAAAGGGGGATCTACATCTATAGCCCCTGGATGCGCAACCTTGCTTTTTGCTTGTTTAAATACAGGTCTTTGCGGCAGCAGTGGAAATAAGCGACCTGGGTTTGTAAACTCTGTTTTTTTTCCCCTGGGGTATCAGTGTTATCTGCTTCTGAAAAACCGTCTCCCTAGTGCTTGCTCTCTGATTACAAAAATGTCTGCAGCTGTACCTGAAGCATACCCAACATACCCTGCCAACTCCAGCAAGTCAATACTTTTGTTTTAAAAAGAGCTTTCTCCACGTAAAAGATTCGTACCCATCTCAGACGGACCAGATGCTGGACAGCCAGATGTTGCCTTGTACAACACTTGGGAGAGTTGATGGCAATGCCTGCGGGGCCGGGGGAGCCGCTTAGGCTATTCAGTGACCTTTTTTTTGGAGTGCCTACTGAAACATAGTGAGAATTGAAGGTCTGGTTTCCCCTTTGTCATTTGCCACTTCTGTTTTGGGAGGAAACACCCTGTTTTTGCAAGCGCTGAGCTGCTGAGATAAGGGGACAAAGGGCACTGCTGGAGCATGTCCCAGCTTGCAAGGAGCCGCTTCCAGCCCAGGGTGAGGACTGGGACCAACACAGACCTTAGCGGGGAGATTTTCTGCACCCTGTTTCCAGTGAGCGGGGTCGTTGCTTTTCCAGCACAAGTATAAAGGCAGGGTTGGGCTTGCAGCTCGACGCAAGGGAACAAAAAAGCAGATGTCAGCAGCTGGAAGAGGTGATGGGGCAGTCGGTGGGAAGCGCATGTTCAAAGAGAGAAAGGGGAAGTGCCTGACGTCCATCGGGATGAATCCTCCTTTTCCAGTCTCTTTCCAGGAGCGTGCTGATCCAAAGTCCTTCTCCGGAGCATTTTGCTTCATGAAAATGAAGACGGGACGTTAGGAACGTCAGTGTTTACTAGACCACCTTCATTGTCTTGTTCTTGCATTAATTGTCCTTTGACTGGTAGGGTGGTTAAGAGAAAAAAAAACAGCTTAATGCGTAGTCAGAAAGCTAAAAAAAAAAAAAAAGCAAACCACAAATAAATAGGTAAATAGGCTAACTGTATGATAGCGTGTAAAAGGAGGCAGTCTGCGGTGCGACTCCTCTGTAAAGTGCATGATAAGCATTGGCGAAGCTTGTTGCAGACACTGGGCAGGCTTTCCAGGGTTGCTTTTGCTAGACTTTGAGTATCATAGTTGCAAAGACTCGTAAATGTTCCGAGAGACTCTTGGTTTTGGGGTGGTTTTTTTTTCGTAAGCTGTGACCACTTGCTTTCTGAATGGGTTTGTAGTGATGGAGTTAATGGAGCTGTTCTTTATCGTAACCTAAAAGGTGTCAGTCGTTTGCTCGTATGTGTCCACAAGCTGAGCCGTAGCATTATGCATCTCTCCGCAATGGTGTAATTTGAAGCACTTTTGGTGTGGCATGTGCAGTTGCAGTGCTGTCTGTTTTTACTTTCACCCCTAGCTATCCCCCGCATTCTAGCTGTGTTTTGGACTCTGAACCAAACCGACTGAAACTAGCACTTTAAGTACTAGTAGTCACTTTGCTTCTGACTATATTGAGCACTGCACTTTTGTAAGTACTATTAGCACTAAGTTTTGAACTGTTTATTTTCCCCAGTCTGTTTAGCCTCTTAGGCGCGGTGTTAATTACTTAGGGGCCATCAGAAGATAATTTTGAGGTGTACGTGACCACTGTCTGGTGCCTGACTTCCATTACATATGCATTAGCGATTTTATAAATTAGGGAACTAAACCCATCCAAGCTTATTTGACACAACAGGATGAACATCTAAATCCCTGACGTCCAGGCAGACGTGGTTGTTGTAAACTTTGAGGTCGTCCGGAGACCCAAGCGCATGGCTTTTAAAAACACCAAAGATACAGGAGAAGTCTCAAAAGGGATCGGGATGGTGCAAGAACGTCTAATTTACACTTGGAATTGAGCGGACCGCAGGACGCAAAGCAGACCCAGAGTGAGAAGCGTAGGGCAAGACGCTTTTGGTTTTGGTACGAGACCCCGGTCTGCGTTAGTAGGGTCAGTCCATGGAACAGCGAAGTTAAAACCAGTCTAAGATGCTGGTATCAATAAAGACTGCGCTCAAGCCATTGCAATAAAAGCCATCATTGTGCCTGTACTGAAAGTGCTGTTGAGATTGATTGTGGGCTTAAACTACAGAAGGTATTTTTAAGTCAAAAAACTTACAGATAATTTAGAAGATGGAGCATAATAACCATGGGGTTTGCAGTTGAATTTGAAAAGCGGTGTTAGGAGTTGATCACATCTCGTGTTAGGAGGCAGCTCAAATGTGCACCGCTATTCTTGTTAAATTCCTGTGGTATTTCAGTATGGATGGTCAGGGACCAGAACTCCCTTCCAGCAAGAAATCAGTAGGGTAGAGTTTGTAGTAAACATAGTCATAAATCTCTTGGATATGAAATGGGATGATGATCCCTGGGATGCAGAATAATCCGGATTTTGATGTCCCAAACCATCCACTCTCAACCAGCTGATGGTGTTTTCCTTCTTTAAAAGCCCTTGTGGGTTTTCCGTAGCAGCAAATAAATCACGGTGGTCGCGAGAGTGCTGCGTTTCCTTCACGCTGGGGTACCCGCACTTGGGACGCCTGCTTATCCTTGTTGATGAGCCAATAGTTGATCCAAGTCCTTCTCTGGCGATACTCCTTGATGGGAGTTTCTCCCCGGTGATACTTGATGGATAAACCCCGCCGTTACAGCATGATCAGTTTGAATGGAGAGAAGCAAATTAGGTCTTCTCCTTCACTGCTAGCAAGCGGACATGATGAAAATAACCTTCAGCAACAAAAAAAATAGGTGTATTGGGTTTGCTTGTTGCAGCAGATGGAAGTATTTTTCTTGACCAGCTCCAGTTTTGGTGGCTGTTTTTGCTTGGGTTCAATTCAAGCTTCCTTCTTTGATAGACCTTCATGGGTTTGGGTATTCAGTGGGAGTTGAAGGTCGTTAAAAAACACAAACCTCCAGCAGCCCAAAGTATTATGCTCTTATGTCCTCTATAGTTGGATTTAAAAATGGAAATGTAAATAGAATCCAGATTTTTCTTTTTTTTTTTTCTTCTTTCCCCCCCCAGCCAAATTAACCCTGCAAACCTAGCTTTAAAGAAATAGCGCCTGGTGATGTTGCTGCTGTATCTGATCCCCTCAAAATGATAGCAGCAGAGGGGATGGTCTCTTCAGAAAGTACCTCGGTGACTCAGAGTTTACATCCCGCTCACCATCACGAGGACATAGGCGAGCCCTTTGGAAAATTCAACCCCCCAGTGAGCTCACTTGAGTTCTTGGAAATTAAGCTTGCAAGAAAGGGGGACGTGGAGCAGGTCTTTTGTTTGTTTGTTTTCCCCCGCAGGTGTAGTTTTTTGCCCCTTGGAGTTGGCATCTTGTCCTTCGGGAAGGTAAAAGTAAGCGTTTTCTCCTGCGTGGCACACGTGAGGCCCGAATGCAAAGCCTAGTACAGCACCTCTCGCTTTGGAAGGACCTTTTAGGCGGAAAAAAGCTCTTGTAGGGATTTTTTAGTTCTTTGGGCTTTAAGATGGCTCATGGGAAGCGCATTGTAACGACACACAGGCAATGTTTTACCGACCTTTTCTTTTTCTCCAAGAGAGACTTTTTAATTTGCTTCAACAGTTTAGAGTTTGTTTCCTTCAAAGGCTTTTTGGACCCATGCAAATGCCCTTGAAATGAGTCAAGTTTATCAAAACAAATTGTGCATTGCAGGAAGCAGTCTCAAAACGCACACACACCCATGCACCTATCCACGTGTACGTGCATGTGTGTATGTGTGTGTTTACATAGAGATAGATATATTATTTCCCCAACCATTCCTTTTTTTGGGGGGTTGGTTTGTTTTTTGGTTTTGTTTTCCCCCGCCCCCCAAGATATTAACCAAAAGGTGTTTTAAAGTCATGGCATGAAAACTCCTAAATGTAAATCTGAGTACCTTGTGATGCTAATTAACAGGTTTTTCTGAAACTTTATGTGATGCTTACTATTTTTCTTAGGAAGTTTTGTTTAATGTTAGATCATTGTTCTGGAGGATGTTGGTCCTACTGGCATTAAACTAATGGAAATAAAATGCATGTGTTACAAGTGTAGAAACGGTGAAGAATTAAGTGTGAACTTACTGTACGATACCGATTCTGTTTTCAAACAATCTGTTTTGCTGTTCAATAGTTGACATATGGAAATGCCAATGTACTGTAATTTAGCACTTTTCTAATGGACCCTGTTCTCACTACGCCTGAGGGAAGAAGTGGGTTTGGCGTGGGGCCGTCTGAACTCAACCTCTGAACCTTTTCTGCATGTTTCGGCACCAGAATTGGCCAGGGGGAAACTCCAATTTGAGGTTTTCTCGTCGGTTCGGTGGCCGGCATGGGGCGGAGGGGCGGTGGCTCTCCATTTCCCTGGCCAAATCAGGACAATTTGGGTGAAGACCTCGCTGCGAGTGGATGGACTGGCAGCATCCCGGTCCACCAGCACATCCCTGCAGGAGCCAGGCTGGGGACGGGCTGTCTGAGCTGGGGTGGGACAGACATGCATCTGAAAAGCAGCTGAAGCAATCCGCAGACCCTGAAATGAAAAGGCAGAAGGGTTAAACTACCAGCCACCTCCCTCCAGCCCAAAGCCTCCTTTCCTAGTGTTAACAGGGTGCAAAGTGTTACTTGTCATGTACTGTACTGAAAGGGTTAATTGATCAGTGACTGTATTGTACTGTATGAAAACTCATGAATTGCCTTGTATTGTTTCTAATGGACTGTACCATGTCCCCCCACCGCCCACTCCCAACCTGTCCCCAGGTTTTCCAAATGACGCATGTTATCAGTTAGGTCCTCCAAACTCTCTGGTGCTAACTCTTCTGTATCCGATGGTGCTTCTGCGGATGCTAACTGACGACATGCCGATCCAGAGCTTGAAGTTCACAACGTCTTTATTGTCTGTTTGTATGAAGTCGACACACACACGCACGCTCATGAAAGAAAAAACAAAAGATAAACTTGAATTTGTTTCAAAGCATCATTGACAATCTAATGTTTTCTATGTCTGCTTTTATTTGGGATGGCTTTTCTAGAAAGCAGCGCGCCAGCACCTTCACACCAGGGGGGGATTTCGTCCCGTTCACGCCGCGGCAGCTCCTCCGGCATCCGAGGTGAGCTGCTCCCTTGCTGGCTTTTCAGGCTCGGTCGCGGGAAGTCGATCCATCAGGAGCCAGCGAGGAAGAGGAGGTGCAGGTGCCTTCAAAGATGCCTGACCCTAAAAAGCAGCCAGCATCCCCGTGACCGCCCCATCTGTACGTAGGTGGTAGGTGGGCACCGAGGGTCTCGAAGGGGAGGAACCCACCCCTTGCTTTGTGGCAAGAATTGGCTTTTTATGAGAATGGAGGCAGAAAATTGAGTCAGGGGAAGCCGGAGCTCCCAAAGGCACCTTCATCTCTTTCTGGCATCACTCATCTCCGCTGGCAGAGGAACTGCCTTCCGAGCCTGGGGTTTTGCAGGTGACACACACCTCGGATGGCGTGAACTGACCCATCCCCTCCCAAACCTCCCCGTCCCCGACGCGAGCTGCTTTTTGGACAAAATAAAATCTGACTATATTTTATATCGATTTGAAAACAAAGTCTGATATTTACCCCTGTTCTCAACTGAATTTGCATATTGTTGTTTGCCACGATACTTGTTCTGTCTTAAAATAAATTTGCTTACTTGTGTAGTCTTAACTGTCTGCTCTGATTCTTATAATCGGATTTATTGCCACTCCCAGGTGCCTGCATGGCGGCTCTCCTTTGGGTGCTTCCCATGAAGGCGAGAAGGAAATCTGCCTGCCCGGGAGGGGAAATCATTTCAGCCGAGACTCAGACTATAAATGTTTCTCTCTCGGTTGTCTTGCATTCATCTCCCCAGGGCTTTTCAATTTGACGCCCTTTATTTTTTTCCAGTCTTTCATCATCAGACCCTTCTACCCGGTAAGTGCGCGACAGAGGAACGGCTGAGCTTTAGCCCGCTTAATTTAAGAGATTAAATTGTTGCTAACTCGTTTCTTGAGGGTAAGTCATTTCCAACAGCAGTATTTTGCATTTGAGAATGAAGGGATTTATGGCTATGAGCTTGCTGAAAGCAATGAGCAGCCGAAAGCTGTGGGCATCGGCACCAGCATCTGACACCAGTTCGGTCTTACGGCACGTTGCGTTAGCGGGAAGCTGGCATCAGTCACTGGAGACGTTGCGGCAGAAGGCAGCGTCCTCAAAAGGCTGGAAAACCAATTTGCACATGCGTTTCCAGGGACGTAATCAAATCAGCCAGTGGGTTCAATAAAAGGAGTAAGCAAATATTCCAGATTTGTGTGCGCTTGCAAACAAAACCTGTTGCAAGGCTCTCAGGTTTTGAGGGGGTTTTCCCCCCATAAAGCTATTTTTGGATTAAAAATGTTGCGGGCTGCTGCAGGAGGGCATTTTATATCCCCTTAAAGATGTATCTGTATCTAAGAGGAACATTTCAGGGGCGTCTGTGTGAGAGCTTAGGCTGTCACCCTTCCTTCCCATCAGAAGCTGTCCCTGTGCATATGTTATGGCCACAGAGTCCCTTTTCAGTGATTTAGCCCCCTCTCCAGGCACTGTCCCCCCTCTCTTTGCCTCTTTCCTCCTCTCTGACCTCTCTCCGGCTTTTTTTCCCAGTTTATCAAGGTTTTGTAGATGTTTCCGGCTGCTCCTCGCAGTACGAGCAGCACTGCCTATGGTGATGGACGCCGGCACGGGAAGGAGGGAGCAGAGATGAATCCCATGGGGAGAAGCTGGGAACAAGAAGCCTGGCTTTGCGGAGGATGCTGTCAGGTACGTCTGCCTTCCAACCTGAGCGAAAATGCAGTGTCTGCACCCCGAAATCCTCCTTTGTCGCCTTTCAGCCTCAAATCGGGGGTTGGTGGGCTCTGCTCAGTCCCCGGGAGCGCTGAGCATTGGTGCGTCACTCCAAATTATGCAGATTTGCTTCCCCAGCTGATTTTTGGTGGCTGCACCCTTCCCCGGGGCAGCTCTGCTGGCGCTGCCTCTCCCACGGCCATGCCACCACTGTCACGAAAGCGCCGGGGCTCAGCGGCGGGTGCTGCAAAAGAGGTGCGGGGTGACAGGGGGGTGCAGGTCCCTGGGGGGGTGACACAGATCCATGCGTGGCACGGGGTGAGGGTACACATGGCGGGTATGGGGTGCCCCATCGTGGGGTGCAGGGGTCCTGGGATGTGTGTGGACACGGGTTGAGGGGACACAGGAGAGAATGAGGTGCCCCGCAGTGGCATGTGAGGGGCCCCAGGGTGCCCACGCAGCATGGGGTGAGGGTGCGGGGTATGGGGTACACTGCTGTGGGGTGTAAGGGGTCCTACTGTGTGTGTGTGACATGGGGCAGGGGGGGTGGTTGGGGGCACGTGGGCCAGGGTGCCCTGCTGTGGGGTGGTGCGAGGAGCCCTGGGTTGCACATGTAAGGCCCTGGGGAGTGTGGGGGGGCTTGGGGTGCACAGGAGACATGGGGTGGGTGTCGGGGCAGCCTTTGGGGGGAAAGGGACAGTGGGGGGGACACGCATGTGGGTGCACGGCGGGGCAGGCAGGTCCACATCCTCCTGCCCCTGGGCACCCCGATGCTCCCCTGCACCCTCCCGGGGGGTCAGGTGCCCTTTGGGGGGCACCCGGAGCAAGTCACGCCGGGGCCATCATCCCCCAAGTGAGAACAGCTACTAGAAACCGCGTGGTGACTCTAGTCGGAGGACATGTCCTGGTTTGTGCACCCTCAGCTGCCGACAGAACAAAGGACTTTACTGATTTATTTATTTTTTCACTCTGTGGGTTTTTTTCCTCTCTAAAACACAGGAATACACCACTCTCTGAGAAGCAGTGGATAACCCCAGGCAATGCGTTCCATAGGTGGTGGTGGCAGTAAGTAATTATTTCTGATTTGGGTTCCCTTGCGTTTTGTATCATGCCCTAAAAGACCAAGCTTCAGAGGAAAAATCAGAAAAATAAGAAAGCAAAGGTACCCAATGAGTGGTTTAATGTTACAGAGCCAGCACGCACTTATTTTTTCATGGCCTTTTATGCCACTTTCACCGGCATTGCCTTTTCAGAAGGTTTTAGCGCAGAAATTATTAGATTTTAGAGAAGGTAGTGGAAAACCCACTTGCTAAACACTGGAAAGCGTCAGAGGCCGGGGGCTGTTGCCTGGCAGGATCTCCAGGCAAACAAGCCCAAAAAAAGAGAGAAAACCAACCTGGCACCCCGAGCAAATCCACTGTTTCTGGACAAGGAGGTGAGAGCCTAGCACCCCCCAAAAATCAGAGGCCAGAGCTGCCAGCCGCCCCAGCTCCTAACAGAGATGCTCTCTGCAAAGGCTGCCTTCACCAAGACTTGCACATCCGCAGCCCCAAGGGCATCGTTCTTTGGCCCTGAGCATGTATTTTTTGAGGCAGCTAAAAGCCTTGTTGGGAAGAAGGATGTTTTTAGAAAAGGCTGCTGAGGAGGAAAAGAGCCAGCTTCTCTTTGAACTCAACCAGGAGGCCCTGTCCAAACCCAGTGAGGTCTGTCAGCTTAAAACTGGAAAACCCCATAACAGGATGGATAAGAAACATGAAGCCCCAATGTTGAGTTGTTATGAAAGTCCCACCCAAGAAAATCCCAATTTCACATCCTGATATTTGCTGGAAGAAGCCCACCCTGCGGATCTCAGGAAGGTGCAGACACTAACAGTGAGATGTAGGGAGCATTCTGAGACCCTGAAAAAGTATTTTCAGATTTTGCAGGAGGAAGGTGTAAGCACCCTCTAGATCGCTGACGAGAACACACTGGGCACGGTGAAGAAAGGCAACCTTAGTACTGCCATCGTAAAGCCAGAAGCTGTTGAGACCCATGCTGAGGTGGCCATGATGTGTGAAACGGTTCGCTTCCTAAAGAATTCAGTAGCAAAAAAAGGAAGGGCAGAAAGATTTCAGAGCTTATTGTGGTTTGATTTTTCACTTCTCCCCGAGTTACTTGACTGCCAAGAGCAAATGACTTCTTTCTCATTACTGAAAGATCATTGCAGAGAGACCATGGGAAGAAAAGTTGTGCTGGCCATCACCGGTAGCCAGCTAGACCACAACCACAACTGGTTTATGGGATTGCTTGGACATTTCAAGTCAGCTGCCAGGAAAGATTTGGGGGAAATGGCTCATACCATGAGAATGATGAAGACCATTGAGCACATGAAGTTTGGCTGTGCCAGGGAAGGGCACTTGGTCCTCTCGTTGCCCGTCCACCAAATGCTGAGGAATTGGAAGAAAATTTGCCACTGTGAAATAAGGGGGACTGTGGCAGCTGACCTGCCCGGCAGCCAACGAGGGATCGGTGAGCCTCGGACCTCAGCATGCCACCTCAAACTCCTCTCTTGCCTGCTGGGGAGCAGAGCTGCACTCTGTCTTCTGCACAGATAAAGCTTTACACACTTCTACCGTCAGAGCAAAGCCACATCCAGGGAAAGCTATGCATCCTGACTCCCATTTCTTAACCATGTCCTTCCTCCCAGTCTGCCCTGGGTCCTCGGAGGACATGGCCAGCAGCAATGACAGCATGATCCAGAGGGAACCCCGCAGGTAGGCTTCAAATTTACAACACCCCCTCGGTTTTTGCACAGCTGAGGATGTGCTGTGCAGCACCTGCAGCACGCCTGGGCGGGTTTTCTCTCCACCAGGCTCGCAGCCAACATCCAGATCGCAGCGTAGCGCCGCAGGCTCCTGCTTTCATTAATTTTCTCTCGGTGAGGCTTTTCAATTTTCCCTGCCGGGGAGTCTGCTGAACATCCCCCATTGCTGCCTGGTGATTTGGCAGGCTCTGTGCCCCGCCACTCCTTTGCAGGGAAATCCGTGCCTCTTCCCGAGAGCTTGCTCTTCCAATAAACCACCTCGGGTTGATCCGAGGACGATCCTGGTTCACAGGCTGCAACAGCCGTAGGTGTGAGGTTTTGCTGGTCCTTCGCTGATGCCAGGGAGAGAATCCACCATCTTGGATCGATATCTAAGAAACTTCTTTAGTTCCTGATAAGGAGCCAAGAGAAATACTCAAGCTTTCCATTTAGGCTTTTCCTATTAAACATTTTAATGGTGGTAGGGAATCAGTAAATAGAAACATCACCTAAGTATATGCATATGTGGATATATAAACATATGTCTCCGTATACCGGGATAGAAAGGGGTTGGCAAGTAGTTACCAGATAGTCGTTTCCAATCTAAAACTTAGGATAATAATCAACTTACTAGTTAGCAAGTACATAAATAACTAGCTTAACTAGCTTGCTAGCAGCTAGTTAATGCTGTTCTCTGATTTTGCTGCAAGACTCGGGGTACGTGGTATTTCTCCCAACAGGAGTGATGTGAGACTTCCATGTTAACCCGTGGCCTTCTTTCTGATTTTGTTTCCTCGTATTAAATAACCAGGAAACCTTAAAAATTCGAAAGACATATATAAAAGTCGCTCGGCATTTGTTTTAATGCTGCATCATAACCTCCTGAGACCCAGGACGCACTTTTTTGGGTCGTTTTGGACAAGCCATGGGATGATTTTTACAGGGGGTGTTGGTCTCCCTTATGCTCTTGAAGGCACATGGCACGTGCTGTCCTTGGGAAGCTCTTGGGTGGTAAGATTTATTGTTCACTGCCACGCTGGAGGTTTCACCTTATCCCGGGGCTGTTAAGGTCTCTGCTGCAGTGCCATGAATGCAAGCAATTTGGTTAAAAATAACCTGCTGGAAACAAATGAGCAAATAAAACATACAGGTGTATGCAAATGGTTCCTGTTAGGCGTCTTTTCTGGCTGCTGAAATGGCAAACTTTTAAGAGTAGCTACAAAATTGTGTTTTATATCTATATATTGCTCCCTTTTACTTTGCTTCAGGGGTGTGATGTTCTGAATCCTTTAATTTTCTCCTTCACCTCAGGGTCAAGTCCACAAGTCCGGCTGCTTTACCAAGTGGGGATTAAGGAAACTGTGACCCGCTTTGGTGTTCTTGGTAGAACACCTGCACAGCCTGAGTAGGTCCTCAGCAATTCTCAGCTTTTTCATCTGACATGGAAAAAAACCCCACCACAACAGGGACTTCACTTATCTTATTCTGCTAAAAATCCCAGAAAAGTTTCCCACCCGTGATCTAAAATCCCAGTCCTCGCTGCCTGGGCCAGGTACTTGCAACTCAAGCCTACCCAGTGCTTTGGGCCGACTGTGAGATGAATCGAGTACCAGACTGTAAGCAAATATATTCGTTTTTATTGTTAATGTTAATTAATACTGTGCTGCGTTTGGTACATGCGCTCCATTTTTGATCACCCTTGAATAAAATGGATGGAGACTCCAGTGTCAGGGTAGCCCACCTCACAGCAAGCTCGCCCTTAACCAAGTCACGCAGCAGTGATCACTGGGGCCAGCCGCAAGCTTGGAGGAGGCACGGCCTCTGCCGATCCCTGCCACGTCTGGCACCGTGGCAGCAGCAGCCAGCTGCAGAGAATGGAGCTGGCATCTTAAAAGTCCCGGCAGAAGATTAAAACGAAGAAAAAATTCCTCCAAAATACTGCCATGACTTTGAAGTTCGATGAGCGCCCTCGTGCAAATAGGTGATTGTTGAAAGCCCCAGTCTCGGATAAAAACCTGAATTTGAACTGGGCAGCTTCAACCTTTTCCTTCATTGTTAAGTTTTCCTTCTCGGAGGATGATGCGCCTGTGCAGGAGACCACAACCACCCCAGCAGTGTCTAAGTTCCCTGTTTGAGGATTTCAGTGGCACTTGAAATCAAGCACATGCTTTGTGTTGGCCTCTTATGGGGTGCAAGCTGCGCCTACTTTGCGTGATTTATTTCTTTTCGTACCCTGTTTCGGTCACTTTGGGTGGAATAGTGACTGTCTCCTGTCTAACAGCAGCAGTGAGATGCCGCCTACCATAAACAGGCATGCACCAAAATCCCAGTGAGAAAAGAAGCAGCCTCCCGAGTCACAAGTAGCGCAGAGGCAGGAGCAGCTTCTTTCGTGACAGCGAGTTCACCTTTTCCACACACAAATCTCCGGGCCGGTCTCCGCTCGGTACCTCCAACCTTCCCCTCAGCAAACCCATAACGACAACGGGTCCCCACATTACCAGGAGTCCGCCAGGCCTCCCCGCCTCTTCACATTAAAGCCCAAAGGCGGTGACAGGGGACGGGGAGGGACGATCTCCCTGAGGGAAGGGAGACAGGAGCCCCCGCCTGGCTTTCCCTCATCCCCCCGCTTCACCCCAACCCGCCTCAAGGAAAAGGGGATCGGCCGCCTCAGGGGAACGGGTGACCGTTAACGGCTGGGCGGGGGGGGGGAGGGGGGCGTGCGCCGGAAGGGCGCCCGGCGTGGGTGTGGCCGGAAGTGCGCAGGACCGGGAGGGAGGGCGG